GACCCATGGTCCAGCCCACAGCCACACTTATGAAAGAGCAACTGTGATTAATGTGTAAACCTTTAAGAAGATTGCTTTGGTTTGAATGTGTGCGTTATTGGAGCATTATAGGCACGTGAGCGCAGCATTTTGTGTCTGCCCCGAGGGTGTGGGGTGGAGCATGTGAGAGAGAGACAGGAGAGGGGGAAAGAGAGAAGGACAGAGACAGAGAGAAAGAAGAGAGGGGAAGGCAAGGAGGAGAGAGAAAAAGAGGGGTTGAGAAGCGAGAGGGGGGGTAAGAGGCGAGAGAAACTAGAAAGACAGGAAGGTAGAGAATAAGAAATAAAAAAAAATAGAAAGAGATATAGAGACAGAGAGAGAGGTCATGGATGAACAGGCAAATATTGTGAAAATGAGATGAGATACCAAAACGGCACAGTAGAAATTGTGATGCTAATAATGCAATTTTAGATCATGACTTTAGCTGTTTGATTGCAAATTGGAAAGCATATTAAGCAGTCACTGGACAAGAGTCATAAAGACGTATTTTAATATAACAGCAAAATGACATTGTTAATAGAAAACAAATTAGTTGAATGGTCTGTACACTATGGGCCTTAGAGGAAGCACATAATGAACTATCCTCTTTTTTTTTTCTTTTTTTTTTTGTAACATTACGCAACAATTTTAGATGTTTTAAACAATGTTAAACAATATATTTACAAAAGCAGGTTGAAGTGAGGTTCAGAATCTCTTTTTGGAAGGTATTTTAGATTTGAACATTTGAATAAGAAATAAGAAGTGAGAAAATGAGGTAGGAAGTGAAAGTAGCTTTATTCTAAATGTTAACAAACTGAATTGTTATCAAAACATTTTCCTGTAGCCGGGTACTGAACAAATGTGTAGGAGTTATAAAGTGATAACAATGAGTGGGAGTAAACAGAGCAGAGAGTTTGAATCTGAAGGTGAAGTCATGCGCACTACAATGGCCAAAGCTCGGACAAAACCTTGTGTCTTTGAACATCTCACCAGCTGCCTCCTCTCACCCACATGACTCTGTTTGACTTTCAAAACTCTAAACATCAACAATACAGTTCACAGTGACCAGTGACTTTACCAAAGGCTTTCACTGAGGGAGCACAAAACAGCAAACACTAATGTCTATTCACAGTTTATTTAAACATTCCTTTTAGATTGGACAGCCCGGGTAAGTGATTCAGATATGAGTTAATTTAGTCTATGTGGCGCTAACTGAGTAAATACAGTAGTTGATTTTGTAACTGTTGCAGAAACCTGTATGCACCTGTCTGTCTGTATTGTTCTAGTTCAATAGTCAGTTTCTCTAACCTGTAAGATAAGCATTGATGTTATGTCATCATTAAAACAATCTCACAAAGAAAGACATTATTCTAAATTGTATTATACGCTGATCTAGCTCAATTCCAAAATCCTCTTTACTCAACCTAACTACAAACTAGTCTGCATACTTTCACATAGTATAAATGCACCTGCCCCATCCAACCCTATGGGAGCAAATGCAAGAAAGGCACTCTCTTGTGAACACTAAAAGCTCTCATGGTCTCATCTGTTGCCTAAACGACTCAATGAACTCTTGTAGCATTTCAGGTTTAGTGGTAGGGATGGGTTGGCCTGATTCATCAGTCGGTTTCACTTTGTGGAAACCGTCTGATTAGGATTTGTTTTTTGACAGTAGGCCGGCACTTTTCTTATTTAACCAATCGCTGCTATTTGGTTGTGACGTATGTAGTGTGCTGCTAACAGGGCTAACTGGTATATTAAGGTTTTCCCAAATCCCTTAGGAAGAAGGGCAATAACGTCTTTCTCCTTGATAAATTCACCAAACATTCTCTTTGTTCCGGCTTTAAATCCTCAATCTCGGAAATTGCAGAACACAGAATGTATGGCTCTTCGCTGATTGGCCGGTGCCCAGACTCGCACTTCCGGGGTTGAGAGAAATGAAATTGAGCAGAATTACTAGATGGTGTCAGCCTGGCTAGGGGTGGACAATATTTCAGGTCCAATATTGGAGTAAGAGGGAAAGGTTCTCATATTGAACATAAAGCAAATATTTCCCACCAACCATAGGATGAAAATATTGGTGTACACAATAGTACAACAAAGTGTTTTTTTTGTTTTTTTTTATATGGGGCATTAGTCTGGAAATAAAGAGATAAGGGTGATGATGATGATGATGTCAAATGTCCATCGTTACATTAATTACACCTCCTTCTCATCCTGGTCTCTGTGACTTGAGTCTGCTGCATGCCTCATCAATGTCTTTTTGTCATGTTAAAACTGTATTGTCACACATCACCCCAAATACCTTACTCCATTCCAACTTTCATGTATGCAGTGTGCACCAAAATTTTATCTAATTTCTTCACATATTTTGTAAACTACCTTCCCCTGACCTCACAGCCACACTTCTCTGGAGTAAAGTGGGTCTAATTAACACATATGAGATTTGGAAACAAGTGCAGAAGCAGCATATGGAGAGGTTCACTACTACTCCACTCTACACAGCTCTAATTAGAGCAGCTGCAGTGCACTAAGTATGCTCATTACCAGGAGGAGCTGTCACACCTCAACATCATAATAGGCCATGACATGCAGGAGTAGTGAAGGTTAACCTACAGAGGCCACCACTTTCACATTGCTTTGGGTTACTTACCACCAAAGAACCTATCATGGACCAAAGTCATAGGGACTAACTTAACCTTATGTACAGACTAACTTACTTTCTAAGTAGGACTCAAGCAAGACTAAACCAACAGTAAAGCAGGACTTAACCAGCACTTGACTTTTGCTAAATCAGTCATTCAACAACTTCATATATCCCAAATGAGGACAGAGTAGCAAATCTTTACAGGCCAAATAAATAGATTTAAAATGTATAATAATAAATAATAAGCCAGGGCTGAAGATAAGATGTTACACATTAAAATAGACATACATTTCAAACTACTTTTTAGTTTAAAGGGCCCATGTTGCACTATTTATATCTATGTTATAATGTTTTTTCCTCATCAAAAACATACATGGTATTGTTCATTCACATGTTTAACACATGAATATTTAGTCTGAGTTCTTCTCTCAAACTGAAAACACTCCACCTTGTTCCACCTTGTGATGTCATGCAGTAATGCAGAAAGCGCTCCATTGTGTTTTTAAACTCAATACACCTTCACTAGAATCATTTGGTTGATTTTAGTTCTGGATTCACCAATCTCTGTTGAACTAACAGTAAAAGGTAGCTGTTAACAACTAAATACTGCTTCATGACATCACATGGATGAACAGAACATTTTGAGCTCTGGAAATGTAAACAGACAGAATGAAACAAAACACAACTCTAGGTGTGTTTTTGAAGAGGTAGCAACATTATAACCTGGCTCAAAGCTCACAAGAGTCAATTGTGCGTAAAATAGGACCTTTAAAATAGAGCATACATTTTAAAGTAATTTTAAGTTCAAAAAGACACTAGTACTACCAGCAGTCTTTGTTCTAGGGCGTGAAATTGAAAACCTCTGCTCAAAGCCACCAAGCCTTACAAACTACAGTATATTTCTTAAAGTTCCAGTCAGTTCAACTTACAAAATATAAGTTTATAGTGCTTGATGCTTGGGGGTGAGTTTCATTTCTATTCAAATGCTCACACAGAAATAGCTGCCAGATGTTTGCTGGGAGAGCAGTTTACAGTGATATGCTTTTTGTCTTTTTGGAAATGCAAAGTAAGCAAAGGATAACTATGTTTTTTGGGCCGAGTTATGACTTGTAAAGTGAAAAAGCATTTCCTAAACTTCGCAAACACCTGCTAGGCACTTTATTTTGCTCTCTCACAGTATGAATATCTTTGATAAACACACTAACCTACTTGACCTTGTATGTTTTATGGACTGCGTTTCCAGTGTTACACATTTCAGCTCAAATGAATTGATACTTTGCAGCTGATCTCATCAACATTCCCTGGGGATGTGAAGCTAACTGATGCACTGCTCTGTCTGAAGCTCTTTTACTCAAGTTAGACTTCATCTTGGTTGGAACTACAACAGGAGCGCCGATCTGTGTGCTTAAACAAGTCTCTCACACATAAGTCACAAGTTGGCATTAGCAAACCGTTTTCTCTCTCTCACTCTCACCTTTTTGTTGAAAATCAACACCTAAACAGGACCATGAGTGTTCATCATATTCATGGTCCATATTCATCACAAGCTCTTGAAAACGTGTTGTTTTAACCAATTTTGTGTTATTATAAGTTTGTGTTTTGTATCTTAAAACTTTTTTGTCTTTGTTTGACAATGTGTGTATTGCGTCTCCAACAGAGATACATGTAGAACATCCTCAGCGTGATTCCACTGCAAAGTTTTCTTTTAGCTTATTACAGGTTTATTTTTTCATTACTGACAAATTTTACCATTTACACGATAGGACTAGTAGTTCCTCTCCAAAGAGTCACAAACTTGGTGAAACAAAATCAGAATATGCAAATCTCTTCAAATTAGAGGCAGAGTATTTGCATGGATTACTTCAAAAACTAAAAGCTGATAGGAATATTAAGCACTAGAACTCTACTTTCCCTGTATTATCTATCTAGGCATGTCACAATAACAAAGTTAGAATAAATATCTTGCAGAAGAAAATATAGATATATATTATATTTTAATCTTAAAGGATTAACCCCACAAAAACTATTCTAAATGTGCAATATTGTTAGAAAAACACATGTACTGCTATGATATAATAGCATAAAGCATAGAAACACATAGTAGTAGGATGTATTTGTTCATTCTGCTCTCTACAGCTCTACAAATCTTGCATAGTACAGAAAAATAGAGAAAAATAACTGAAGACACACTGGTACAGAGAAAAGTACCCGTGATAAATATTGCCCCCAAAAATTATAGCTTCATCTACCATACAGTATATTGAAAGATGTGGGCCTATCTTACAATTGAAGTCATGGGTTTCAAAATGTACAACTTTGTTAACATCATTCTTACCTGTATAGTTCTTGGGCATCCTTCCTTGAGTCACTACCTCCACTTCACTCTCCATCGGCTCCTCAGTGAACCCTTGAGTCTGACTCTCTGTCTGCATGTCCGGTAGTAGCTGCACGGTGGTCCCTGTCCAGTCCTCATTCAACAACAGGGTGGCTGCTGTCACCTTTGGGTCCTCCTGGTTCTCCTCTTGCTTCACTGTAGATGCATTCACCATCGCTAGCATCCAAAATAGAAATATGACACCCCTCCATATCCAAGCTTTGGCACTCTTTGGTTCCAGTTTGTAAGACATCTGTGCCATATTCAGAAGTTTAACCTGAAATTCAAAGCTCCATGCCTTTCAGAAGATACTGGCTATTCCTTCAATGCAGAAAAAATAGGTTTGTTTTGGTTGAGTCTTCATGATTCTGCAAAGAGAAATATCAGGATTAGTAAGTGCATGCATGAGAGGCTCAAACAGAGTGGTCCTGTTTGCAGCTTTGGTCTAGCGTTCTGCTCTCTCTCCCCTCTCTTGATCGCCCTCTCACTCGCCCCGTCTCTCTTCCCTCCTCTCGCTCTCTCTCTCTCTCCTCTCTTATCTCCAGCTGAGCTCTTGCGTAACACTGAGCTGCACTAAGTCAGTATACTCCTATTCACCTCCTCTTTCTCTCTCTGTCTCTCTCCCTCTCCCCTCTGTCTTCTCATCTCTCTGTCATTCTTTCTCTTCATCCAACCCTCTTTCTCTTCTCTCTCTCTCCTTCTCACCCCCTTCTCCCCTTCTCTCTCCCTCTCTCTGTCTCTTTCTCTCTCTTCCTCCCCCCTCACACTTTATGTCTGCTGACTTCACTGCTGGACTGGCATGTGCACGGTTGAAATAAGTTCACAGTGAAAACAATTTTCACATGTACTGTATACAGCAGAAAAAAATACATTGCATATTGCATAGTTGGTTGTACTTATGCAATTATGTATAAACTGTTTAGCTCTAATGACAATACACATAGATCATGATCAGAATTTTGGCAGAGAAGGATAACAGATTAGAGTGGCTAACAAAATATTGCATAAATCTACTTCCATATTTTAAGTAGCTTGTCAACAAGAATGATTTGAACAAATATGCATTGTTAAAAACCTTTGATTTTTAAATCTAAGTAAAAATGTGTGCTGCTTTATTATCTGTATTATTGTGAAGGTTTGTGTACCCCCAAGGCATTGCCTGGGGGTACACAAACAGAGACAGAATCAACAATATACCGTCATTATAACAATGCTATACTCTTATGTTGTGCTATGCTTACAGAGACTTTTTAAATCCAAACATTATTCACTTACTGCCCATAATTGTGATTATAAACTACAGCAGTCAGATTTTCCCAGGGGCGTTGGAAGTGTGACTGCCAGTCTGACCCTCACTATGTTCACACAAAGGCAAGGAGTGGGAAGTGCATTGTTTGGAGTACGGATTGAACCTCTAACCTTTGAGTTTGTGGATGAATGCTCAACCACGAAGTCGCTGGGTATGCTCGGTATGGCATTCCTCTACAATCTGTGGCCTGGTGTCAAAACAGTGATGAAACCAGTGCAATCAAAATGCTCTGAAGTAAATATAACAATGCAATATTGCTATTGCTTAACTCATGTAGGGGTGGGTGATATAACATTGTTTCCCAAAGACTGGGTCGCGACCCTCAGGTGGGTCGCAAGAGATTTTTTGGGGAGTCACCTTGTCACAACCTGCATGTAGGTCTGCAATATTCGGTTCTGACACATTAAATTTTCTCTGCTCACAAAAATGAAGACAAAGCACAGAAACAAACTGAACATGCAGACAGGTCCACCTCTCTCACTAGACATGCTGAAATGTTAAGACATGTTTTGTATAATTTAATTTGTAATCTTTTTGTAATTATTTTATTGCCTACTTTGTTCCAATTTTGCTGTTTCAATTGAATGTTGAAAAGAAAAAGAAACTGACTACATTTAATGTCCAAATAGGCAACTTATGGATCCTTTTATTGCTTTTTTATTAAAACTTGAGAAATATTAATTGTTCAGATAATAAAATATCCTCATTAATGTTCAATAATGGTAAAATCCACCTTTATTTTGTGATTTTCAAATAATGTCTATTGACTTGCGTCGCAAAGGTTTATGACTTCTAAAATATGGGTCCCCAGAAAAAAACTTGGGAGAGACTGATATAGAAAAATCTATCACAGTTTCTTTAAGCCATATGACTTCTTGCACTATCTATATTTCTATTGCCTTTAAGAGGTTAAAGCTGCTTCTTCTGAAAGTTCATATTTGACTGTGATTGGTTAAATCCAGCTGTCATTCACTGAAGCTGACCAACTGAAGCAGTGGTAGTGGTTTGAGCAGACAGCTAAAATGATGAAACAAGATAAGACGATATGACCAAAATAGTCATAGCAATGAGATCATGATTAGATTTTTCTCACAATATCGTCAAGCCCTAAGTTCATGTGCAGTAAAACGTGAGTGTGTTCTCTCTGGTGCTGCTCGGTGCCACAGGTGAGTGAGGTGTGATGTGGAGTCCTCCCTGCATCACTGTCCCATATGAATTATAGATGTATTTGGACCAGAAATAGAGGAAATGGAGAGAGAAGCAAAGAGGGGATAACAGACTCAGGACAACGCTGACATCATGAGCCAAGATACAGTCACAGAAATAACAAATGGATATGTAGTATACTTTCCATTATTACCTTTAAAAAAAAGCTTTGGGTAGCTTGCAAAATCTCCTTTTATTACTTTGATATGTCCTAAAAAAATTGCTAATTTAAGATCTTACATCCAACCAACTCATTTAAGTTTGGTGCCAAAGCTTCAGAGCTAAAACTGCGTAAACATTTATTTAAACTGGGCCAATGAATATTTGATGGGAGAGAATCTGCTCTTAGTGATAATGTCTCTTTGAATTAACAGCAACTTCGGTGAATATATTTAAACAAGCCAGCAGCTTTTAGTGAATAGCATACTGTAATAATGCAATACTTGTCCAAGAGCAAGTCCTCTGATTTTAAAATGTAGTGTCCCTTTAATGTGTTAAATAGCTACTTATGTAGGTGTAAACGCTGCATGACTATACTGTGCATATAATAATGTATTACCGTAGTCTTTAAAGCATTCCCAGATGTTCAAAGGTACTTTACAGTTTCATACATTATTCATTCCCTCCCCAGACTCTAGTATGCCTCAACTGTAGCCACAGCTGCCCTGGGGTAGACTGACAGAAACAAGGCAGCCAATTTGCACCAATAACCTTTTCAACCATTGCCATTCACTCTCACAGCACATCGGTAAAATTAAATAAGTAAGATATATAACATTTTTGTTGTTGTGGTTTTTGTTTTTCTCAATTACAAATAATAAAGACTTACTTCATAACTGTGCCACATACTAACAGTGCAGAGGGTCAGCTGAGTTGAGACCAGAGGTGCAGTGATGCCTGTACAGCACATGCATGTGTAATGCTGTGGAAAGTATCTTTATAAATGGCCAGTATAACTGTATGTAGCTCATGTATAAATCAGCAGCACATTAAACATATAAAGGTCTGGATATAATAGCACAAATGAGCTGCTGACTGCCCTGTACTTTAGGCCTCTCACTGTGGAGGTTTCTGTGTTTGTCACATGATTTGTCCACACATATTAATACATGACTGTAATTTACCACAGGGGAAAAACTAAAAGTGTATACTGTATGAACTTAAGTTAAAATATGCACAAAACAATATGCATAAATCAGTAAAGGGGGTTGAATTTGATGTCAGTGTTGTTAGCATGTTGCACTGTACAAAACACTTGTATATAATCTGCATTGATTATAATCCATTTGGCCTTAATAATGTCTAAGTGCTGCACTATGGCAAAGGGGTTTGATGGAAACACACATACATACCCATACAGTCATATGAGCAAAAATTCATTCTCAATTCATCTACTTACTGTTATAAACAACAAAACAGCCAGTTGCATTGACAGTACAATTTTGAGGGTTTATTTAAGGGTCCTATATTACAAAAAATCGACTCGTGAGAGTTTTAAGCGATGTTATAATGTTGTTACTTCATCAAAAACATACCTGGAGTTGTGTTTTGTTTCATTCACCCCTGAAAAAAACTTTATTATTAGTCTGTCTACATCTTCAAAGCTCAAAATGCTCTGTTCCATCTTGTGATCTTGTCAAGTTAAAAACACTCTTTACATTTAATTCGTAGAGACTGACAATTCCAGGGCTAAAATGATCAATATTATTCTAGTGAAGGTGTATGGAGTTTAAAAACACAAAGGAGCACTTCCTGTATTACCACATGACATCACAGAGTGGTACAGATCAGTTTGAGAGAAGAACTCAGCCTGAATGCAGGGGTTGTGTGTTAAACATAAAGGAAAAAAACACAACTCCAACTTTATTTGTGATGAGAAAAAAGTATAAAGCAGATCAGAAAATAGCGTAATATGGGCCCTTTAACTATATGAATGAAAGGTTCTAGTTCAGTTCTACTTCAGTTAAATAATTGGTCTTTTGTCTGTCACACGTGCAGCACTGACACAGACTGAGAGGAGCTGTTTATCTGACCCTCTCATCAGCTGTGATCTCCTCTGATGTGGAAGTGGCACATTATAACCACAGTTATATAAGACACCTCTGAGTCACTGCTCACTCACTACAGCTGTGGGTGGCTCACTGATCAATCTGTGATAGAATACAACTGTGATTTTTTTTTTTTACCACAGAGCTTGTGCAATATACAAAGAATACAACTGGACAGGCCATATGCATTATGTACTGAACATTTTGCATGTCATGATTGCAGCAGCAGGTTTTGTTGAGAGTCAATTGTGATTTTATTTGACTCTGGCCATTCAGTATTTCTGCATGTGTACACATTTTGGCCTGGCTCTCTAAAACATATCCAATGATGTGATGAAAGATTCTGTCTTGAACTGACATTATTATCCCAGACTATTTCAAGATTTAAGATTCAAACGGCAATACAAAAGTTGCATGACCCATCCAATAACCCCATAACCAACCCCAGTGTAAACATTACTATGTCTGTAAATAAACAGCAACAGTCATAGCAACAGCATGAAGAGCATCACAGAGACATACAGTCAGATATGTGGGTTTTTTTCTTATGCAATAATGCAGAGTACAGTTCAATGTTATTGTATTGGTGGGTGTGGTTATTGTCCATGGGAGGGGGACAGAGAGGGAAGAGAGGCACTGTTCAGTAGCCTCACAGTCTGAGTACACAGGCTGTTGGTTAAACCCATCTTGGTCACTTTTGGTCATTTTTGGTCATCTTTAAATCCATTATCTGACACGGCAGACTGACAGAAGCAAGGCAGCCAAATTGCATCAATAACCTTTCCAGTCATCGCCATTCACTCTC